AGTTGTTTACTTTGTGAAGTATTTTAGGCATTATCTGCTTGGAAGAAAGTTTACAATCAGAACCGACCATAGCTCACTGAAATGGCTGATGCGGTTTAAAAATCCAGAAGGCCAGTTAGCTCGATGGATCGATGTCTTATCAGCTTATAATATGGATATTGAACACAGACCTGGAAAACTTCACCAGAATGCAGACGCAATGAGTCGCATACCATGTCACCAGTGTGGATACCGAGAAATTGAAGAAGATAAGGCAGTTGTGATGAAAGCCACAGAAACGGAAGACAAAGAGCAGAATTTGTCAAACTCTGAGCTTCAAAGACTGCAAGATGAAGATCCTGATATTGTTAAGGTTAAACATTGGTTGACTAAAGGTGTTAGACCTAAGCACAAAGAGATAGCGGGTGAGAGTCTATTTGTGAAATCATTACTCACACAGTACGACAGATTAGCCTACAAAGACAATATCCTATTCAGGAAGTGGGAAGACTTTGAGCTGAAAACTACAAAACTCCAAGCTATTATTCCGATGAGTTTGCGACGAACAGTACTCAAGTTTTGTCATGATAATCGTTCTTCAGCACACCTAGGAGTGAGAAAAACCATTAGTAAGATACGTCAGTCTTACTATTGGCCCGGCTTACAACGAGACACAAGGTTATACATAGCTGGGTGTGAGCAATGCTGCAAGAGAAAAGGACCAAACAGAACGAAACGAGCTCCAATGCAGTTAGTTGAAACCGGTCGACCAATGGAGAGAATAGCCACTGATATCTTAGGTGAGCTGCCAGAGACAACGAACGGTAATAGATATATTCTAGTTATATCAGATTACTACACAAAATGGACCGAGAGTTATCCAATGCCCAATATGGAAGCTCGTACCGTTGCAAAGATCATGGTGGAAGAATTCATAGCAAGATTTGGCGTACCATACTCAATCCACTCTGACCAGGGTCGACAATTCGAGAGTTTGTTATTTCAAGAGATGTGTAACTTACTACAGATTGAGAAAACTCACACAACGCCATATCACCCTCAGTCTGATGGCATGGTTGAGCGTTTCAACCGAACGTTGTTAAACATGCTAAGTGCATATGTGAATGAGAGACATACAGACTGGGATGAGCAGCTTCCTTACGTTATGATGGCGTATCGCTCATCAGAACATGAGACGACAGGATATTCCCCGAATTTCCTGATGCTAGGAAGAGAGACAGCAACTCCTCTCGATATCATGTACCAAAAGCCATCTCATATAGATAAAATACCACAGTCAAGATGGGCCTGGGAACTCAAAGATCGTTTAGAAGAAGCACATAAAGTTGTTCGAGAACACACAAATTCTGAAATGCTCAGACAGAAACGGTATCACGATAGAAAACTCAACTGGGAAGATTACAAAAACGGTGACCTTGTTTATGTGTACTTCCCTAGACATAAAAGTGGTCTATCGCCAAAACTAACGAGCTATTGGCATGGCCCATTTAAAGTTATATCCAAATGCTCCGACATAAATTACAAAGTAAATTGCGGACCAAGAGGAATACCTCAAGTAATTCATGTTGATCGTATGAGACCAGTACGATCGCAATTGATTTCAGGCGAAATAGAGAATTTACCTGAAGTTTACTCAGATACAAATGCGCAAAATGAATCAGAAAGTATTGTACAAAATGAGTCAGAGAGTATTGAACAAAATGAGTCAGATAACTCATCTAAAGTTGATCATAGTATACGGCCAAAACGAACAAAGCAATTGCCAACATGGTTAGCTGATTATGACACAAAATGGTACTAAAGCATTTTTAGTCAATGATTTCTTTCTCTTTGTAGAAATCAATCATGGTTAACACCAAAACGACGCCTAGAAAAGAGCCTGAAAATTGTCCTATGTGTACATTTTCATCGACAAGTCAAGAAGCTCTGCTTAATCATGTTTTGGAGTGTGGAAAGAAACAGCAAGAAAAGCAGTTCAAGTGTGATAAGTGTCCATATGTTTCACTGAGAAAAGCCAATCTGAACAGACACAAGAAGTGCAAACACCCAAGTGAGAAAACGGAGCACAATGAGAAGAGTCAAGAAAGTATTGCTAGTCTTCGTAATGAATTAGAGATCTCAAGTGACAGTGATACCGAAGAACAGAATTTAGGAAGCGTTGTTCCTGAAGATAGTGTGGTGTGTGGTGATGAGGAACCTGATGAAACTTCAGCTAAGAAAGATCCAGTTATTGAGAAAGGACAGATGCAGGATTCGCTGATTCTGGGGAGGGTCGTGAGAAAAAGGACCTTGCCAGAAATATTTATCCATGCAAAGAAATCTATGTTCCAAGCTGGAAGTACAAGGGCAACGCTTGTTTCTGACGTGACGAGAGGCTCAATCCCTAAACCTCAAGCTGACGCTATTGTACCTTCTTTTCCTGAATCTTCTCATCCACAGTCTGTGAACAATGAAGATAAGACCCTGAAGAACGTTGCCGTACAGACTGAGCCAACTCAGTACAGCAGAGTTGAAAAGACTGTTACAACAAAAAGTGACGATGGTACCATTAGGGTTAGTCGAGTTGTAGAGGAGGAAGTTGTAATCAAACTGTAATGGGAATAATATTTTTAAAGCTAACTCAGTAAAGTGTATAGATAATACTCATATTTGTTACTGAGGTAATCCGTTTTATTGTACATTTTTCTCATTCGGTTTACTCATTTGTGTAGAGATATTTCCCTTGAATAGTATTGTATATTGTATTGTACATTGATATGTGATGAAAGCTCTTTTTTTGACATAATTGAGCTATTTTGAGATAAATACCATAATTTTTTTTTGAGTTAGATTTGGTATAAAGAGTTAAGTTAAGTGATAGAGATTTTAAGAATTTAGAAATGCGGGACGCATTCCTCTTAGGAGGGGGTAGTGTAATGTAAATAGTGTTTGCTAAATTTGAATTTGGCGCCATTAGTTGGTAGGTCATGTGACTACCGCTCTAAGGGTATATAAACGTCACAACGCTAGCGTCAGTACATTCAGTGTTGGTTTAGCTTCAGAAGCGAAAGGTTGTGTTAGGTTAGGAGTTATAGGTAAGCCGACAGTTTCCCATAAGAGAACGTGGATCAAGCATCCTTACTCTCGCGGGAAAAGCTCGACTAGTCCTCAGTGGACATATATATAAAAAGAATAAGTTTCTTTAGTGTTAAGTGTTGAGTAGCTGAGTACTCATTTGTTGAGCACTCGTGAGAGCTGAAGGTTTTACTCATTAGTTGAGTAGTATTTTGATTACTGTTAATTTGTATAGTTAGTATTTTTTGATAGTGATTTTTAACAGTGATTTGTTTTGTTAGGTAATTAAGGGTAATCATTTTAATTTCATACGAGAGGAACTCGTATCGCCTTATTTGTATATTTTGCTGGCGATTATTTTTGTATATACGTTCGCCGTATTTGTATATTTTGGCAGGCGATTATTTTGTCTCATTATATCGAAACAACATTATTAATTAATAACTTCAGATTCACAAAACATTGACGCCACCACTTGCCGGAGAGATTCGTATATTGATATTATTTTTGAGTCTCAGTCATATAGTACTCGGCACTCAGGGCCATTGAGCAGTGAGGGATCATTTTCGTGCCAGCACCTACTGCGACACGGGACCTCGGTTTTAGTAACTGAATAATTGGTTATATTTGCGATCAAGGGAATACTCGTATAACGACCATAAAAATTACAAAATGCTAAGTATAAACGAGGCTGTCGAAATCTCCGTAAAATCAACTTACCAGTGAGCTGTCTCGCTTTAATAATTGATTTTTTTTTCGGAGCAATATCTTGAGTAGCGAATAAGCTGAGAGACATAAACACCATAGACAACTGAAAGGGGAATATTTCTATTTCTATTTGTTTTCTCTGTGATTAATCTTTGACCTAAAATGCTTGATCTTCTGGATGGAGACTATATTGAAATTAATATGGGAGGTATCGTGTAATTTAAATCTACATCTTTAAAATTTAATTTACAATTTTATTTCACAAAGGATGGAAATATTAGGAGTCACTGTCTAATTTGTTGGGTATGCCATGGACATCAGCGATAGTTGGAAACGTGGAATATGCCAGAGACAACTGCAATGATGGTTGGAAACGTGAGATAATTTATTTAAAAATAAAAGTTTAATTTTTTAATGAAGAAGAGTTTTTAATAACTGTAATTTTACTAAGAGGTGTATTTATATATGCCGAGCTATTCTCAGTGGCTCATTTCTTTGTTTATATCATTTATTCTGTTAATAAAATTTATCTATTCATTATTATCAAAACCGGCATCAAATGTTATACGCAATATTGTAAAGGTCTCAGATATTCACAAAAGTTTGAATCTGAAAACAACCACAGCATAAATTACGAGATGTTGACCATAAACAAGATAGTTGAAAGTCCTGTAATAACAACTTATTTCTCAATGTTTTTCAGTAGCCAGTCTCTGTTTAAAATTTAAATTTATCGTACTCAGAGCGTACTCTTGCGCACCGAATCAATTGAAAAACATTTATTAATGATGTTATTTAATTTGTCCATGATTTTTCCCCCCTTTAATTATTTTCTATTTCATATTGATTGAAAAAACATTACTAAATAATTATAATTGGATCTAATATTGCATGGTTATAGGTTATATTTGTAAGATTTATATTTCTTAGCATACATACATGTAAGTTACATATTAATATTTTTTCTTTCATGTATATTTTAGGCCTTTCCTTCTTAAGTTTGTTCTCTTTTAATATGCTTATTTGGGCACTGAATTAGTATTTACGAATATATTTTATCATATTCTATTGATTTAATGATATGAATTGTTTTATTTTTATAGTTCATTAAATTTTATTTAATTAAGGATTTTTCAGTGCTTCTTGGGACATTTCGGTGGATCAGATGTATTTCTGTTATTCTTCCTTTGCTCCGAAGTCATGTAGGGCCTTTACGCTTATTAGTTACACCAATTAAAATGGCGGGTGAAGTTGAAAATTCACAGATGAATGAAAAAAGTATACCACATACTGTATCTGGGATTAATTTAAGCAGACTAAGAGAAAAAGTAAAATTTTATATTGAAAAGGTATGTGTTATATTATTTATGGCTCATCCATTTCTTGCATGGAGGTGTAGAAATGTAAAATTGAGTTGTGGATTGTTATGTATGGAAAGTTCGAAATTCCTCGTAGTGCGTGTCTTCAGTTTGGAGGATCTCTGTATTATCTCTCCTATTTTTAATAAAGGATATACCTGAAGGTGACCATCACATTTGTATTTACCCTAAAGACGTAATCTCTGTCTCACCAAAGACAGGGATTTCACTTGACTTCTAGGCCGCAGGCACTTGTTTCTGTGTAATAAATTTAACACTTAGTATAATATTAACAAAAGGTTTTTCAAATCCGAATTACATGGAATGCCCCCCCCCCCTTCTCAGAATCACACTCATTTACATTTTTATAGTAAACATACTGGCAAACTGTTTATAAACATTGTCCTCTATGCAGGGATGGGATAATTGAATAAAGTAATTGTAATTGAGTGTAATTAATTACATTTTTCAAAGTAATTGGAAGTAATTTGTATTTGAGCGAGCCTTCAATTACAAGTAATTGAATGTATTTAAATACATTTCAAAAAAGGTCATGTATTTTCAATTACTTTTCAATTACATTTCAATTACTTTTTTTCAAAATGAAAGTTTATATTTAAAAAGGTGTCTTATACTGATATGTAGTTATATACTGGTGGGTTTATACTACTTATTCCCATGTTTTATAAATCTCAGTTCTCCCTATTCCCACTTGCAAATAACAATGATTGTTTAGATAGTTAATTTGTTTTACAGCAATTAGACTAACTACATCCCCTTTTAGAATTACCTGTATTCTATTCATTTTAAGATAGAAAATAATGAATGGAATTGTGATAGATATTATTTATTTTCTTCAAAAATATGGATTTGAGAAAGTAACAAAAAAAAGATCTTGCCATACACCATACTGGTGTAGCATGGGCTTGTGTTTGTACAATAATTAATTGTCTCATAATGTTTAATTTGTTTATACAGTGAAGGTCTAATTTTGACCAGGTGTGAACGGTTCATTCTACCTATTCCCACTTTTTGAAAATCATGTAGAAAATGGTAAGATTTTATGTGGGAATAGGTGGAATTTTGTGTAAACAAAAAATTATCTGTTCTTGAATTTAGGTATTAAGTTGCTTTTTCTTGCAAGATCTTTTTATTATTCCAAAAATCCAAAATAAATCATATTTTCTCATAGATTTATTCATAATTTTCTGTCTTAAAATGTACAAAATACAGATAAATCTAAACATCTATTGTTATTTGCAAGTGGGAATAGGTGGAATTGAGATTTTTAAAAAGTGGGAATAGCTATCATACCCAAGAACAAAAACACTGAATGAAAGTTCGGATTCGATCGCTATAGTATATAAAAAAATCTTTATTTTTTTTTGATAAAAATAAAACTCGAAGTAATTGAAATGTATTTAATTACATTTGTCAAAGTAATTGAAAGTAATTAATTACATTCGAAAAAATCAATGTAATTGTAATTGCAAGTAATTGACAAAATTATCAATGTATTTGAAAGTAATTAATTACATTTCAAAGTAATTGACCCCAAGCCTGCCTCTATGATAGTTTATCTACATAATCAATGTACACTGTAGCATGCTTGTTTATTTTCATTCCTTATACCGTAACAGGTATATTTAGCGAGGTGCAAACTTTGGCATGTTTAAATGGTGCAGTAGAAATTGCTAAAAAGTAAAATTTTAATTACCAAATTTGCACTCACATAATTATCACTCACTACTGAATATAAGATAAATCACTTTGATGGGCTTATAAGCAATATAGTTATACTGTATGTGTGCATAAATTGGTGTATCCAATATTTAGGGCAATCACTGGGTATAGAGTTAATAATGTTATCAGATTCAGGAATTAACACTACACATTTCTTTGCCTTTCATTTATGATTTCTAAGCAGTATTCATGAATCAGCGCATTGGCATGGGTGCTAAAACATGCTAAAGGTGCCTTCTCTTTTAACATGTTTAAGTACACATAACTTTCATCTGGTATTTTTTGTTTTTCTAGCACCAGTATGAGTCTGCATTGTTCTGGGCAGATAAAGTTGTATCACTCTCCAATGGTAAGAATTCATATAGAATCTACTAAACATAGATAATTTGATATCAGTGACCTGTGTGATTAAGGTTAAAATCTTTGATTTATTAAGGGGCAGGATCTGAATGCAGTAAAGATCTTTAAAAGCTTTATAATCTTTGGTTACCTTGTATGCCTATGTTATATCATATAATATTACTTTGAAGTTAAACATTCTCATGTAAATGCTGGTTTTGATCATTTACAGGTAATCCTGATGATGTGTATTGGTACGCCCAGACCCTGTACCTGACTGGACAGTATCACAGAGCCTCCCAGCTCCTGAGGTCAAGAAAACTGGACAAGGTTCTATACACAACAAGCCATTCTATCAGTCTGTCACAAAATTCTCACTTCTAAGTTTTAACTTTTGCACATCCTTTTTCAAATAAAATGTGTTTCAAGAAAAAAATTTCAACAGTCTTCTTGAAAATCACTTAAGATTTGTTTTCATTCTATTCTTATTATAATAGACATTAGTGTTTTATCTCTTTTTGAAATTAAGAGTTATTTAAACAATAAAATGCTTTCTTTGTTTGTTATTACTGGAATGAACGGAAGCAGCTGTTGCAGAAAAAGTACATAACCCGCGTAAGCGGGTTATGTAAATTTTTTCTGCAATAGGTGCGACCGTTCATTCCAGGAATAACAAAAAAAGAAAGACATTTTATTGTTTATATTTATATCTGTTTAAAATATCAATTTAAGTAGGATTAAAAATATTAATTATTGTGTTAATGATGCGAACGTCTTTGTACGTTTCATTGATGGAACGGCCACTGATCAAGAAATCTGTACAGGTGATATGCCTAATGTAGTTCATGCAGTGATGAACGCAATGGGTTTTTTTAAGAAATAAAGAAGAAAATATTCAGTGGATGTAAATATAAAGTAAACAATTTCACTTTCTTCTTTTTGGTTGAAAACTTTTCATTATAATTATGCTGTATTATTTGTTCTTTCAGAACAACTCCGCTTGCCGTTACCTAGCAGCTAAATGCCATGTGAGTATTCAGTAAAATGAGTGAATTCATTTTAAAAACGTACACTTCATGATAATTGGATGAAAAGTGTCCAATGATTGATCTTTTTTTTTTCTCAGTTTGAATGCAAAGAATGGCAGACAGCATTGAACATACTGGATATGGTGGAGAACAACAGTTTCCTCCCTTCCTTCACCAAGCACAATCTGACAGACTCTCTCTATGACCAGAGTCAAAAAGAGGTATGGGGGAAATAAAATACAGAGTCACAAGGAGGTGGGGGGGGGGGTAAAATAGAGATCTTAAGATACAGAGGTCTTAAATCTGAGGCTTATTGCAAGAGAGGAAAAAGTAATCACAATTAAACTGAGGATGAGAATTGTATATCATTAAGACTCGAAAACTTTGCAATATTACCGTAAATCTGGAAATTTTTGCTGTAGATAAATTTTTAGCAAATTTGCGAGGTCATTGCATTCGCAAAAATATTTTTCTTAAAAATGAATCACCAATAAGAAAATGTAAACAAAGAGTGGTCATTCGCAAAATTTTGAAACGTAAAAATTAATCAACAATATTTTGACCCGAATTCGCAAAATAAAATCGACGTTAAAAATTTCCAGATTTACGGTATGTATTGTAGATCACTTTATTTGCACAAGAAATATGGAAAAATGAAACTTGTAATAATGAAGGTCTTGCTAATTGAAGTGAATTACAGTATACATGTTTTCCATTTCTATCATTCTATTTTGTGAAATCAAAAATTCTTTTTTTAAATCTGATAGTACAATTAGGTAAGTGAAAGCAGTGCATCACAGTCTTTTTAAGTTCGGTATCTGTATTATAGGTGGAATATTCATACAATCTTTCTAAGTTTGGTACCTGTGTTATAGGTGGAATATTCATAAAATCTCTCTAAGTTAGGTATCCATGTTATAGGTGGAGCAATCATACATTCTCTCTAAGTTTGGTACTGTGTTATAGGTGGAACAGTTATACAATCTTAATAAGTTAGGTACTGTGTTATAGGTGGAGCATTATACAATCTTTTTATGTTAAGTACTGTGTTATAGGTGGAGCAGTCATACAATCTTTCTAAGTCTGGTACCTGTGTTTTAGGTAGAGCAGTCATACAATCTTTCTAGGTTTGGTACCTGTGTTATATGTGGAGCAGTCATTTAATCTTAATAAGTTTGGTACTGTGTTATAGGTGGAGCAGTCATACAATCTTAATAAGTTTGGTACCTCTGTGTTATAGGTTCTGTCCGTCTGTCCGTCTGTCCGTCCGTCCGTCTGTCTGTCTGTCTGTCTGTAGACGAGATTTTGTCCGGACCATTACTCAGAAACTATTGGAAGGATTTGTCTGAAAATTTGTACACATATTATTCACCATATGAAGTTGTGCACCTGATATTTTCATCTTGATTGGATTATTATTTTGAATTTTACAGGTGTTTTTTCATTTTTATTTTGTGGTTTTGTCTGGACCGTTCCTCAGAAACTATTGCAAGGATTAATCTGAAAATTTGTACACATATTATTCACCATATGAAGGTGTGCACCTGGAATTTTCAACTCTTTTTGTTAATTTTTTTGCATTTTACAGGTTTTATTTTTTATTTTAATTGACTTGTTCATTTTGGGCTCATGTATAAGGTTTGAGATATAGAATCTAGAATATCTGTTCAAAAATACTACAGCTTAAAACTGCTCATAAAAACTTAAAAAAAAAGAAAAATCATCAAGTGTTAAAAACAGTTTTTACATTGCACAGAAGATACTGTAATTTCATTTGTCTCTTGGGAATAATGACTGGACATGCATCCAGTTAAAGATAAATTAATGAGTTTGGTGTTGGAAGTTGTTAAGGCATATCTCTTATCAAGCGTGTGTGTTATCTAATCTCCAGGGAATAAGGCACAAGAATTAAAGATCTCTCTTCTCTTATTCTCTTAATTGTAATTTATTGTCTGTCAAAGCACTTCATTACTGGATGACCAGCTCTTTATTTTCAAAATGCATTTCAAATTGATATATCAAGATTAATTTGATTTTGTATAATGGTTTTTTTTCAACAATCAGTTTGCAGAGTGACATAACACATAATTGCAATATATTTTTTTAATGCAGAAATAAAAAAAATAAAATGAAAAAATAAAACAAGAGATGTTTGTAAAACACTTATGCCCCCCTCTCCCCAAATTGGAATTTTTACAAGTCCAAAGGGCATAACTCTGTCAAAAATGGCACGATCATACACAAAACAGAACTTGACCAAAATATTTATCTGATACATTTGTATACCAAATTTCATTTCAGTATGTGCAACCTCTGCAAAGAAAATGAAAGGAAACTGCAAATAATTTGAAATTTTTACAAAGTCAAAGGGGCATAACTCTGTCAAAAATGGTGGAATCGTACCCAAACCAGAACTTGACCTAGATATCTATGATAAATCTGTATGCTTAATTTCATTTCAGTATGCGCAACGGTTGCAAAGAAAATGAACAGAAACTGCAAATAACAGGAATTTTTCTAAGTCTAAGGAACATAACCCTGTAAAAATGGTGCGATCGTACCCAAAAAGAACTTGACCTAGATATTAATCTGATATATCTGTATATCAAATTTCATTTCAGTATGTGCAACGGTTGCAAAGAAAATGACTGGAAACTAAGTGGACCGACAGACCAACATACCGACAGACAGCAGCAAAGCAATATGCCCTCCCTCCTTCAAAGGAGGGCATAATTAGTTTTCATTATATTATACAATAATAATTTAGTTTTAATCATACACTAAAACATCAATTTATTTTAATTACACTACACCAATTGAAAGATCTTTATCTGAACTATAACCATCAAGAACTCTTAATTAACACAAGCAACTATGAGGCCATTTCTTTTTACCCAACTCCCAAGAGATAAATTAAGATGATCATATCTAGAGATGCTCTCGCTTTAGACTACCAATTAGCTCCTGACAATAAACTCATTAATTTCTCTGATTTGACCTGCAAATTTCTGCTATCAAAATTCTTCTTGACCAGTGCTTGATAATTATGCCCATGGGACAAACTAAATTCCTCTCAAAACATTAACATTTGTTACAGATTGCTGTAAAGTATATGATTATGAAAAAATAAGTTTTTACTTAATTTAACATTTTTTGAATAAGGATACAACTATATTTTTACATTTTTTAGGATTATGAAATTTAAAATTTAAAAGACTTAGTTTTTTTTTTTAATTTACTTAAATGGACCAACAGACAGCAGCAAAGCAATATATGCCCTCCCTTCTTTGAAGGGGGGCATAAAAAGGCTGGTAAATACATGTAAATGTTTTGACAAGCAATAAATTACAATTAAGAGAATTAGAGAAGAGAGATCTTTCCTTCTGTTATCGAATTCTCAGGAGATAAAGATAACACATGATCAGAGATGCCTAACTTCCCACACTAAGCTCATTAATTATCTTTAACTGGATACATGTCCACTCATATCTCCTTAAGGACAAATGCTTAGATTATAATTGGATTTTTTCTAAGTCCAAAGGGCATAACTCTGTAAAAAATGGCACCATCGTACCCAAAACAGAACTTGGCCTAGACATTCATCTGATAAATCTGTATACCAGATTTCATTTCAGTATGTGCAACGGTTGTGAAGAAAATGAACGGAAACTAAGTGGACCGACAGACCGACGGACAGCAGCAAAGCAATATGCCCTCCCTTCTTCGAAGGGGGGCATAAAAAAAAAATGTTACAATGGAATTAAATTGTATTAGTATTGATGTTTCATTTGGTTGCACCTTTGTTTCATTCATTAAGAAACATGATGAGCAATAATATTTCACTGCAAATATTTGTAAGTAAATTGTGAACACCTGTAGATCCATACAGTATTTTTGAATTGGCACCTTCTCTGAAAAACCCAGCGGTGGGTATTTGTCCCTATTGGACAGTTCTAGTTTTTGCATGTGATCTCGAATCTATCAGGTATGCACAGATTGCATCATCGACAGAAATAAAGACGTGTGTTTAAAAAAAAATTAAATCAAAGTTTTTTGAAGAATAATAAAGAAGCAATAATTGAATTATGTTTAATTATTATTTATAGTACAAATCTGAAGCTTCAATATAGATTCTTAATCACATATTTAGATTGATTGATTGATTGTATATTGTTTAACGTCCGTCTCGAGAATTTTTCACTCATATGGAGACGTCATCGTATACCGGTGAAGGGCTTCAAATTTTGACCTTTACTCAGCACTCAGGGCCATTGAGCAGTGAGGGATCTTTATCGTGCCAACGCCTGCCACTGACACGGGCCCTCGGTTTTTAAGGTCTCATCCGAAGGACCCGCAACTTTCACTTCAAAGTGCCGAGCGCATGGCGAAGGAACAGTTGCTACCCATTTTAACGACTAGGTCAGTCGCGGCCGAGATACGAACTTACGACCTCCCGATCACGGAGCCAGCGCTCTACCGACTGAGCTACCGTGAACGGTCACATATTTAGAAGATATTGGATGACACCATAACTATTCATAGAATTGCATGTTGTCTTACGGATTGTTGTTTACTTGCGTTTTTCATTTCCGAGATTTAAGAGTCAAGAAGTATCTCGAACACAGATATTGTCATTTACAAAAAACAATTGCTGATTGGTCGACTGGCTGTACCGAGTCCCAATTAGAACTCGAGAAAAAAAAACAACTTCTATCAGCACTGTATGCCAAGGGATTATGAGGAGAGTAGTGTATCAGAAACCCTTGGCTAGTGAAGAGGTTCTAATTATAGTTATAAATCATTGTAATTTGATCACTAGATAGCTTGCTTACTCTGAGGAAGTGGAATAGAATTTTTTCTCTCTTATTTCAGAGCGGGAGTTGTTAGATACATTACCATTTGCTGTCCAGTGCCCCGTAGAAGAAGTAGAACTAATTCGATATTTATATGAAAATAGAATCAAAAAGGTTAGATTTTCCTTCTTAAGATTGTAATATATTTATTTTAATTTGTATCCTCTTCTTTGGCACACATAAAAGAATGTTTAATAAATTTAAGATAAAGATGAATTATGAATGGAGTATGTCTAATATTTGAACATTTTGAGTGTTATATATTTTTGAGATAATTTTTTTTGCATGGGAACAGTATGACAAGCCAAAAGAGCACAGAGTTCCGGGATCCTTGTCTTGTTTAAAAACCAATAAAGACATTGTTGTTAACGTGGCCGAGAGACATTACTATAACTGTGATTTCAGGGAGTGTCATAAAATTACAACAAAGTAAGTCTAATAGTCAGAAACAAACATCTTGTGATAAAAAAATGTGTAAATAACGGTTGTAGTTTTTGGCATTCTTTGTCATTTACCCTTATATTAAAACAGCTATTGAGAAATGTAAGTCAGTTTCATTAATAAAAAAAAAAAGGTTCTGGAATAAGAGTTTAAAAAGATGTAAAAATAGGTAATTATTTTATAACACTTCTTAATATATAGATATTTAAAGACAACAGGAATACTACAGTGGTGTGTATACTGGTAATTTAGCTTTTGAAATACTTTTTTTCTATACAGAGTAATGAGTGATGACCCTTACAATACTCAGTGTTTACCCATTCATATAGCAGTGTTAGTGGAACTCAAAAAAGCCAAAGGTAAGGTTTACATTAATGTTGACATCAGAATCACTATCCGCAAAACAAAATAGCTGTATGGTTTGGAGATATAATGGTCATGTACTTTTATTTTATTGACAGATTTGTTTTACCTCTCTCACAAGCTTGTGGATTTATACCCTAATGATCCTGTAAGTTTTCGTGAGTCTAATAAGCTTTATATGTGTAATATATTTTATATTTAACACTTGTGAATTTGGAAAGCTTTACTGTAACTAAATGGCTCTGAAAAGTAATAAGATAATGTTTGGATGTAGGTTTCCTGGTTTGCAGTGGGATGTTATTATTTACTGACAGAAAAGAGTGAACCTGCTCGACGATATCTCAGGTATTAACAATAAGATATCTCAGGTAAACACACAGATATCTCAGGTAAACACAGTTATCTAAAGTAAATGCTTGGATAGCTGCAGATCTGTAGCGCTATGGTTTTATATATTTGTCTTTGACCATAACGCTACAGATCCCGTAACGCAAAAAATGTGCAAAGCATCGGTAAATTAACTACCTTTCATTCCCTAATTCTATGCAAATTATTTAATTAATCTGTATATTTTATTCATCTCCCAACCCTTTATAGTTGTCTCTACAAGTGATAAAATCACTTGATTAAAATTATACGTTAGATTGCTGAAAATTCACTTCAGGTGAGTTCATTTCCTGAGAAACATCTAAAAATGGTTGGGAGGTGGATAAAATATACATATTGGCTACAGAATATGTCTAGAATTAGGGACTGAAAGGTAGTTGATTGACCAATGCTAGAAAGTGGAGAAATTCTCCCCATAAGTGCGCATAAAATATTGCGCCGTAAATTGCACCTTTTTTGATTACAGGTTCTGTAGCGTTATGGTCAAAGACAAATATGTAAAACCATAACGCTACAGATTTGCAGCTAATGCTTGGATATCTCATGTAAATGGTAATACATGTATATCACTTGTGAATTCTATATGAGACCATTATCTGTAACCTATTTTACTGTAACAAGCTTATTGGTTGCAAGTAACCACTAGTGTTTTGCAAATACGTGTTAAATTAGCTACATGCAAGTGTAGCTTATATCACATATTCTATATGATTTCTTTTCCCCCTAAAATTTTACCTGTACCATCCATGGACATAAAAAAAAACCCTGATATATGTTCTGCTTACCTTGGTATATGGATTTATTCTAAATTTAATCTTACAGTAAGGCTACAACACTGGATCGCGTGTATGGGCCGGCCTGGCTGGCGTTTGGACACTCCTTTGCAGCTGAGAACGAACACGACCAGGCCATGGTGGCGTATTTCACCGCGTCACAGCTGATGAAGGGATGCCACCTTCCACTCCTGTATATAGGACTAGAGCATGGCTTAACCAACAACTTCAAACTGGCAGAGCGGTTCTTTAGTCAGGCTCTCAGTATCGCCCCAGAGGACCCCTTTGTGTTACATGAGATGGGAGTCATAGCGTTCAAAAGCCAGGAGTAAGAACTCTCTTGTATTATTCTCTGTAATATTTGTGTCACAGGTCATGCTATCAGATTGACTCAGCATTCTAGTCAAAGCATTGAAAAATCCTTACGTAAATGCAATGGAAGTACACCAAGATTGTTTCACTTATTACAATAACATCCATGAGAGTTTTGGCCTGACGTAATAACCTCTTTCGGTTGTTATCATAAAAGGTAATATATTCTCAATGCACTACCTTTGCGTTTACCTGAAGATTTTTTAACGCTTTGACTGGAACACTGTTTTAGGAGAAATTATGTGATTCTTACAAGATTCAGATTCAATTCAATAGCTTGAACCTAGAAAGAAATATATGACATTGTCATAACTATTGCATTAGCGCAATGTGGGGCCTTGTTTGACATTGTCACAACGATTGCCATAATCATTGTTGTGTTCATTAGAGTTTTAGCAGATCTTCCACAACGAATGACCAGAGCTGTATTAATGATATATATATACGAGGGGCTATCAGAAAGTTCATGGACTAGCACCATAAAATTAAAACCGCTTTAGGTACATCAATGAATTTTTTAAATATTTAGTTATCATCATCTTTTTTATCTATGGAATAAACCACAAATCATAAATTTTATTTTTAAATAAATTTGTAAAGTTTTTGTAAGCAATGGTAGGTCCAGGCGGCGCTACCTCGAAAACGACATTTTTTTCCACCTCAGTGTAAGTAGGATAAACTCTTTTAATACGGACATTTGACATCCAAAAATTCTGTTAATTCATGTATGTGTTGGGACACTATTGTTCCATAAAATATGAAATTTTTATCTCAATCTGGAAGTTCTATGAAATTTTATTGTAAATTTTACATGGAGTATCCAAACAAATATTGCCTTGAAAATGACGTCAAAAGGGAGGAGGGGTTTCATTTTCCAACATTCTATAAAGTTTTGCCCCTTGAAAAACTGGTATACACCTAGGAAATTTTAAAACTGGCTACAGAGAATAAAATTGCATCCAGAATACTTGTTTTTTTATTGCCAAAATAGATTCAGAGAGAAAAGGGATTTAAAGTATGTCGATTTATAGTCAAGGTTTGAAAAATCTATCACGTCAAATAATGACGTTGATCATGTGTTTTATAGCTATATTGAACTCCAAAAAACAAAATATGCTGGCACAATCAAGCGAGGATCCCTCCCTAATATAATTATGCACTGAAAGCTGCTGTTCATGACATTGTTAAGTCATAAAAACAAGCGAGGTTGAAGTCATTACTCAGCTCTAGGGAATCTCATCAAAATAATTATTCGAGGTAGAAAAAGGGGACATGGAAAAATGTAATGACGTCGGACATCATGAATCTAAGCGCCGACGGCGCCGGGTGATCATATAATGTCATCTTTATTTTATAATAATTTGGGGAATAATGAACGTATCAAGCTAAAATTTTCAACATTTCTTTATTTTTTGTTGTTTTATGTTTCTTATAAATGTTGTAAGCTCAGACGGCATGGTATTAATTTTATAGCCTCAGTCCACGTACTTTTTGATAACCCCTCGTATATATGGATACTTTGTAGGTGGAGCACAGCAGAGAGATATTTTATGGACGCCCTTAGAATTTTAGAAAATATTGGACAAGAAGTGATTGTGGAAAAATGGGAACCTCTCTTAAATAATCTGGGACACACATACAGAAAATTAAGGTAGATATTCTAATTTTTTGCAACAAAAGTTGAGAGCATTGCATGTCCAAGATTATTGACATAAAGGACCACCACAGAAATATATTCTCCATGTTGTATTGAAGTATAAATATAAATAGAGTATTACTACGATTTCTATAATTTGTAGAACAGTTTTAAAAATTCCCTACTAGATTAAACACACTCTAACTTTAAAAAGTTAATTAACTGAAAGTGTTGGAGAGTTTTGTAATATATGTGTGTAAATTTTAGAAGGTTAATCAGTATTTGAAAAATCTTCAATTTCCAGAAATTATGAAAAATCCTTGGAGTATCACAAACGAGCGGGAATTCTATCGCCCCAAAATCCTTCTACCTACTCTGCCATCGGCTATACGTACGTCCTCAAGGGAGACAACTTAATGGCTGTGGACTATTTCCATAAAGTAAGTCCAGCAGAAATTACTTCATCACTACATGTCGTTATGTATATTCAAATATCATACACATTGAATATTAAACATTTATAGTATCATATCAAAATATATACACTGTGTATGTCAAGTGTCTACTGTACTATTATTTTCGTGGCAGGCACTAGGTATCCGTCGAGATGATCAATTTTCCACAACCATGCTGTCCAGTGTTATAGAAACTTTGATGTCCGAGATGGACCCTTGTGAAGGTATGATTCTATCAGATTGTGTTTCTGTTTTCTTATTGTGTGCATTTTTATTAGCTTTGCAGAATGTCTGTTCTGCACTCTACAATGCACAAAGTGTTCTTAGAATTACAAAAGATTAATATGAGAAAGACATCTTGTATTCTGGCAGTGACTGCCATGATTTCTTACAAAATGAGTTTGCTTCACAGTCAGTTTTTATATAAGAGGATACTCATTTCTTCATCCAGGTGCTTCAGAAGATTTCCCAGCATTCCCTACTCCGGGGAAGTTAGAGTTTTCTCACAGCAGTAGTCAGGAACTCAGTGACCTTGACATCAATCCTGAGGACAACTCAAGCATGGCCATAGAAGAAGTAGACATGGATGACTGAATAGTGTAAAACCCTTAGTGATTGGTTGAAATTTGAAGGCTCATTTCATACAGAGATGATCATGGAAATATGTATACATCCCAGAGTGATGGCATACCTTGCCCACTTATGTATTTTATCCACATGTTGAGTATCCAGTGAATTTTCCAGGAAGTAGCAATGGGTCTTATCAAATCATTTTAAATTAGAAACCTCTGAATATGTTTGAATATCATATCATATCTGTCAGATATCCATATATTGTATCAAGTGATATAAGTAACTTATGGTTACTGGTAATTTAAACTTAATATTCAGAACGTACACAATTACAACATGTATCATGTGCAATTTATGATTAATGTTGTAATTAACATGGGATTGTTCATTGAAATTTTATTATGATGGAAGAATTGATTTGATATTGATTCATTTCAATAATATTCATACTTATAATGTTAATATTGTGTATGATATGAAAGGAAAAAAATGAAATTTCTTTAAGACTGTGTCGGCTGTAGTTTGAGTCTGGAAGAAAACAGTATATATAACAAATTAGGAAGGCATATACAGTTTATAACAACTATGAAGTTTAAAAAAATTTGCAATAATTTTAATACTTTTTAAAAATTATTTCAGTTATAAAATTAGTTAGACACCAGTACTTCTTTTCATTTCATATTTTTATAGCATGTTGGTTATCTGGTATTATTGGTATGTAAGATACACATACACCAGAAGACAAATCTGCCAAAATATTAGGGTTAGTATTATTCAATTTTTAAAGAGTTTCTTGATCTTGACAGATGTGTTACTAAGCAATTCTTACTTAATATCTGACTTCTAGAGTTGTGAAATGAATCCCAGTCAACTATACATGTATTGACATTACATGTCACTCTTTATGTTCAAATATTGTAGAAAATTGATGTGATATTGAATAAACTGAATGGTTATTTAATTTTTCACAGATTTTTCCTTATTTTGTGTTGGCTGATTCTTTTGACAATAAAGTTGATTGTACACAAAGTTCAAATTCACTTAACATCTTCTCTAGCCAAGGATTTCTGATCCGAAATTAGAAACCTTTGGCTAGCGAAGATGCTTAAATGTTTGTTGTATGCTATACTGGTTCCATATATATCACTGTCCACCTTGTAAAAAAGGTTATTTTGCCAATAATGATGCAAGAGTTGCTCCCCATTTTCAAATCCTTGTCCTCAACCTCAAACCAATTCTTAAAAATAAGTCTTATTTTTACAATGTGTTTATTGGAACTTTCCTTCAAAGTTAAACGTTTTCTTGCACAACCTCAGAAAAAATATATTAGTAATATCCCTCACACTTTCTGATGCAGTATAGTCAAATGTTGGTAGAGTAATGATAAAATTTGATTGTTAAAAAAATGAACAAAGTCCTTCTCTTTGTATTGTTTACATTTCTAATAATTTTCCCTCAAGAACAGTTGAGGGACTACAGTTTGATTCAAAGGATGGGGAGGAACATCTGTCTTGGAAAATGTTGATAATAATGTCCTCGAATGGCAAGAATATGAATAATCTATCCTTACCTATCCCTATACAAAAAAACCCACTCCATTTAGAAAAACACCCCATTGCCACAACGAATTTTGGAGTTTGGCAATTACCATATTTCCAGTGAAGAAAATAAAAGTTGTCCCCGATCATCCTCTGAGAAATAAAATGTCCTTCATCAGTGTTCACGGGCATGAAAAAAAAATAATCTGACCCTTAAAAAAAATTCAGCACCTTTCAGAATCAAATAATCGTCTCTTACAAATAATAATAATAATTGCACTATGGTGTAAACTTTCTTAATTTAATGATTATACTTTGGGGTAAACTTTCATTGACTTAATCTTGTATATCGGTTGATCTTGCCTTCGACCTTTCAGTCAATGCTCTGTGGTGCTTTGTGGTCTATTCTGATTCCAAAGTATATCGTGTTTTTCTTTCTTGAATTTTAATGAACAGCCCTGCTTTTGCCATTGCCACTCCAGAGGGCGTGTCAAACTTTATCCAGTTCGTTTTTAGCTCACCTCAACGAAGTTGGGGGAGCTTATGTAATACCCTCGGCGTCGGCGTCGGTGTCGGCGTTGGCGTCCCAGGTTAAGTTTTTTGGAGCAGTTTTCTTTTCAAGTACTTCTTTGTCCTATATTGATTAGACATGCATGGAAGATGCTTCTAATGTGTTTCATTGTACCAGTCAAAGTTTCAGATGCTGCAATTTCAGCAAAGGAATGGCCAGGTTAATGTTTTTGGAGCAGGTTAACATTTTTGGTGCAGTTTTTGGTGCAGGTTTCATTTCCAAGTAACTATAAGCCCTATGTTGACCAAACTTGCATGGTTGATACATCTAAGGATGCATACTACTGGGCTTGCTTCGGATGCTGAATCTGACCTACATTTTCCGGATGAGTGAACAGGTTAAAGTTTTTGGTGCAGGTTTCATTTCCAAGTAACTATAAGCCCTATGTTGACCAAACTTGCATGGATGATACATCTAAGGATGCATACTATCAGGCTTGCTTCGGATGCTGAATCTGACCTACATTTTCCGGTTGAGTGAACAGGTTAAATTTTTTTGTGCAGGTTTCATTTCCAAGTAACTATAAGCCCTATGTTGACCAAACTTGCATGGATGATACATCTAAGGATGCATACTACCGGGCTTGCTTCGGATGCTGAATCTGACCTACATTTTCCGGTTGAGTGAACAGGTTAAAGTTTTTGGTGCAGGTTTCATTTCCAAGTAACTATAAGCCCTATGTTGACCAAACTTGCATGGATGATACATCTAAGGATGCATACTATCAGGCTTGCTTCAGATGCTGAATCTGACCTACATTTTCCGGTTGAGTGAACAGGTTAAATTTTTTTGGGCAGGTTTTATTTACAAGTTACTATAAGCCCTATGTTGACCAAACTTGCATGGATGATACGTATAAGGATGCATACTATCGGGCTTGCTTCGGATGCTGAATCTGACCTACATTTTCCGGTTGAGTGATAAGGTTAAAGTTTTTGGTGCAGGTTTCATTTCCAAGTAACTATAAGCCCTATTTTGAACAAACTTGCATCAATGATACATCTAAGGATGCATACTATCAGGCTTGCTTCGAATGCTGAATCTGATCTACAATGTACATTTTCCGGTTGAGTGAACAGGTTAAAGTTTTTGATGCATAATTCATTTCCAAGTAACTATGACTTCTTAAATGACCAAACTTGCATGGATGATACATCTAAGGATGCATACTACCGGGCTTGCTTCAGATGCTGAATCTGACCTACATTTTCTGGTTGAGTGAACAGGTTAAAGTTTTTGGTGCAGGTTCATTTCCATGTAACTATAAGCCCTATGTTGACCAAACTTGCATGGATGATACATCTAAGGATGCATACTACCAGGCTTGCTTTGGATGCTGAATCTGACCTACATTTTGTGGATGAGTGAAAATGTTAGTTTGTGATGAATGTATCATTTCCAATTAACTATGAGCCCTATAATGAGCAAACTTGCATGGACGATACATCTTAGGATGCACACTAATGGACTTACTTTGGATGCTGAATTCGACATACATTTTTTCAGATAATAGACCAGGTAAAAGTTATGGGTGCAGGTCAATTACCAAAAAACTTGAAGGCTTATATAACATTGTATAAACCAAACCAAACTTGCACAAATGTTGCATCAGGAGATGAAAACTCTCAAATTTGCTTCAGATGCTTAATTTTAATTACATTTTCATGAACAACTAGTTTAAATTTTTTATGTAGGTCTATTTCAATGTATTCGATCAAAATTGCTTAAATATTTTCATTTCTGGAATGTACACTTTTTGTTGGTTAATTGTGTGACTTTGCCTTACTTAAAGACAACATTCGTTGAGGTGAGCTCTGTAATCTCTGATTACCTATGTTTCACGTTTTACGTCTAAATCAGTACGCGTAGACACACGTGGGCTTAGGAACCAGACACCTGTGAAAATTGAAACCTGTAATGACGTCACGTCATTTAATTAGGTTTGTTACTCTTTCCCCGTAATTGCATTTGATACCTGTATTTTAGAAATCTCCGATCTTACCTGTACACACCCTATTTCATATACATTTGTATATTCTAATCAATAATACCCATGGCGACTTAATTACAGTCAGCTGTCAGGTACATACACGACAAGGATTGAATGTGTTGCCATAGAAACGTAGAAATTAAGTATTTTTCTTTTCAAAGAATTACAGGTGTCTGGTTACAGAAAATTAAACTATGAAGTAAAGATCTTTGAACAGTGTACATACTATAAACTTGTCTATTTGAAATATCCAATTCTTAAGTATTTTATTATTAATTAAGTATTTTGGACAGAGTATGACAACACCAAATAATTATAAATATACATGTATAACAATAATATCGTTGATGAATACTTCGAAGCAGCTAAATTCCAAATGAACCAGCACGCTTTTTAGGGCGAGAGTGGCTTGACGTCTGACGTTTTGGCGGGTTTCACTTCGATCTTCTGCCGTTTGGTAGACACGATGAACAGATGAGCCGGACACTTTGGAGGCTCGGGTTTCTTCTCGACTTTTACTTCTGTATCTGAAAATATTATACGCCTTTTTAGGACTATCGAGGTAAATCCCAAATTGATGTTGCATTTACACTCATTCTGAAAATTCAAAATTGGCAACATGAAAGGACCAAGAATTTCAGATGCATTTGCCGTCCATTTTTACCTAGATGATTATTAAAAAGGAAAGTTAAGTCTTTTTTTTTTATTTTTTAATTCAGATATGTTGTTTTAAGATAAACTTCATCTCGGGTGTTTGAATATAACATGGATAAAAAGACTTCCTTTGGGCTATGCATTCTAGGTGCATTACATAATATTTTGCCCTTTGCCCTCTCTTAATTTCGAAAGGTCCTTGGACACAAGAGGGAGAAAGAGAAGTACTTACATGTACTGGCTGGCTGGCTTACTTCGCCGTCCGGTTCCCCACGACAGTCCCACGTGGTGGAGGTTTCATTTTCACTTTCCTCGCGGTAGTTGATCATCTTCTGATGAGGAATGTGGGAGGAACTACAGCCCATCCCAGCCCCGGGATGTCTTCCACAATGTCTCTTTCACAGTGTATACATTAAGCACTTGGTTGTTTTAACTTTGTCAAGAGAAGCGGTGTCAATCTTTTTTAATACGACACAACCAAATTCCTAAAACATGCAGCGTTTGTGTTAGGTTTAGGTCAAATGTCTCTGGACTAAAGGTACATTGCATTCCACTTGTTTTCCACCCAACTGTAGCAATGCAATATCGACAAGCAGCTCTGGATGTCAAGCTTTTGTTGCTCGGGTGATTCCTGACGAGCTGATTCAGAAGTCTGCAAATCCAATTAGCTTACGTACGTACGTCAGATTTAGATTGATCAGTTATTGTGTGTCTTTGTGTTCTAAAACTCGTATTCTTTCACTTGCAGACAGCACCATCGGTATATGGAGACCGTATCGAAGTAAAAGGACTGCAAAGGTGTCACCGGGAGAGAAATATTGACAAATTGCCGTTATCCCTATAGGTGGGATTCGACCCTAAGTACATATATCTGTCATTTACACCAACATCGCTGTGTGAGATACATTCTATTTAAGTTTTTATTTATAATTTGACTTATGAATAGCAATTGCTCTCCTGGCATAATCCATGATGCACACTAAGATCATTATATGTTAGAAGACTCTCAAACTGGAATCATTATATGTTAGAACACTCTCAGACTGGGATCATTATATGTTACAATACTCATAGACTGGGATCATTATATGTTAGAACACTCTCAGACTGGGATCATTATATGTTACAACACACTCAGACTGGGATCATTATATGTTACAACACACTCAGACTGGGATCATTATATGTTATAACACTCTCAGACTGGGATCATTATATGTTATAACACTCTCAAACTGGGATCATTATATGTTATAACACTCTCAGACTGGGATCATTATCTGTTATAACACTCTCAGACTGGGGTAATTATATGTTACAACACTCTCAGACTGGGATCATTTTATGTTAGAACACTCTCAGAATGGGATCACTATATGTTACAACACTCTAAGACTGCGATCATTATATGTTATAACACTCTCAGACTGGGATCATTATATGTTACAACACTCTCAGACTGGGATCATTATATGTTACAACACTCTCAGACTGGGATCATTATATGTTAGAACACTCTCAGACTGGGATCATTATATGTTAGAACACTCTCAGACTGGGATCATTATATGTAAAACACACTCAGACTGGGATCATTATATGTTAGAACACTCTCAGACTGGGATCATTATATGTTAAAACACTCTCAGACTGGGATCATTATATGTTACAACACTCTTAGACTGGGATCATTATATATTACAACACACTCAGACTGGGATCATTATATTTTAGATACACCCTCAGACTGGGATCATTATATGTTACAACACTCTCAGACTGGGATCTTATATGTTAAAACACACTCAGACTGGGATCATTATATGTATAAACACTCTCAGACTGGGATCATTTTATGTTAGAACACTCTAAGACTGCGTTCATTATATGTTACAACACACTCAGACTGGGATCATTATATGTTAAAACACTCTCAGACTGGGATCATTTTATGTTAGAACACTCTAAGACTGCGATCATTATATGTTACAACACTCTCAGACTGGGATCATTATATGTTAAAACACACTCAGACTAGGATCATTATATGTTACAACACACTCAGACTGGGATCATTATATGTTACAACACTCTCAGACTGGGATCATTTTATGTAAGAACACTCTCAGAATGGGATCACTATATGTTACAACACTCTAAGACTGCGATCATTATATGTTATAACACTCTCAGTCTGGGATCATTATATGTTAGAACACTCTCAAACTGGGAACATTATATGTCAGAACACTCTCAGACTTGGATCATTATATGTTAGAACACTCTCAGACTGGGATCATTACATGTTACAACACTCTCAGACTTGGATCATTATATGTAACAACACTCTCAGACTGGGATCATTATATGTTATAGCACTCTCAGACTGGGATCATTTTATGTTAGAACACTCTCAGATTGGGATCATTTTATGTCAGAACACTCTCAGAATGGGATCATTATATGTTAGAACACTCTCAGATTTGGATCATAAAATGTTACAACACACTCAGACTGGGATCATTACATGTTAGAACACTCTTAGAACACTTTCAGATTGGGATCATTATATGTCAGAACACTCTCAGACTGGGATCATTATATGTTAGAACACTCTCAGAATTGGATCACTATATGTTACAACACTCTCAGTCTGGGATCATTATATGTTAGAACACTCTCAGACTGGGATCATTATATGTTACAACACTCACAGACTGGGATCATTATATGTCAGAACACTCTCAGACTGGGATCATTATATGTTAGAACACTCTTAGAACACTCTCAGATTGGGATCATTATATGTCAGAACACTCTCAGACTGAGATCATTATATGTTAGAACACTCTCAGACTGGGATCATTATATGTTACAACACACTCAGACTGGGATCATTATATGTTAGAACACTCTTAGAACACTCTCAGACTGGGATCATTATATGTTAGAACACTCTCAGACTGGGATCATTATATGTTAGAACACTCTCAGACTGGGATCATTATATGTCAGAACACTCTCAGACTGGGATCATTATATGTTACAACACACTCAGACTGGGATCATTATATGTTACAACACTCTCAGACTGGGATCATTATATGTTAGAACACTCTCAGACTGGGATCATTATATGTTACAACACTCTCAGACTGGGATCATTATATGTTACAACACACTCAGACTGGGATCATTATATGTTACAACACTCTCAGACTGGGATCATTATGTTTTAAACTCTCTCTCTTTTTTTCTTTGACTCTGCCTCTTTTTCCTTTAAATTCAATTTAATCCATTCAAAACAACAAATAGAAAATGCATAATCAATATCAAACAAAATACATTTTTAACATCTTCAAAGGTAAAATTTTTTTTTTTACATGAAACTAAATTTAAAAGCATTTAATAGGTAGTCGTATATGTGTTCATGGTAGATACAATTATTTACAATCATTTTAAGCTAGACATACATAACATATTAGTATTAGTCTCCAGTGCAATTTTCTCTCCTCTTCAGCAGTTAGATTTAATAGTGTTTATTACACATCCAACACCTTAAAACGTCAGCTTTTATATGTTAATGCTAAATTATTTATACAAATAATTGGAACTCATCATCATTGTTAGAATGTTCAGAATATGAAGAAATTAGATAAGCTGATAAGGCCACATAGGTAAAAGCACAATTTGTATTACATACAAACACATTTGAGAGAGAGAGAGAGATAGAGAGAGAGAGAGTTTGTTTTACTTTAGTGCTCTTATACACAATACTTACATGTAATAAAGAATATTTTCGGTGAATACTAACAATATTATAATTAGATTAGGTTTGGCTCTTTCTAACTTAAATGTTATATATTCCACCTACAATTTACTTATTTATACATAATAAATTATTTATATTTTAGTTAATTTGACAGCTTTTGACATGATAGATTGTATTCGCTGACAAGGTCAATATATCGAATATAAAACTAGTGAAATGATGACTTCAAATGTGACTCTTGATAATCTTGTTTTCAAAATGTTGGTAGCTTGTATCGTTTAAATTTTGATTAACGTTGAGCTAATCCCTGTTGAGATTCTGCTGGGCTAGATATTTATTTGGACTGACGCCGTCGCAACGGCGTCAGTCCAAATATCTAGCCCAGCAGAATCTCAACAGGAATTACACATTGAGCATGCTCTTACGTATTGAAACAACCTGGAGACATAAACTTCATATGCAGATGATATGGGTACCATATATATATATATAATATATATATTGCTACTTACGTCAAGAGAAGTTTGAGTCATCACGCTTATCATAACGGTTTTTATGCCCTAGATCGAAAGATCCCGGGGGTAAGTTGTTTTTGTCTTGTCTGTCTATCTGTTGTCCACTTTAACCTAGCCTATACAATGTAACTATTGAGTGGATGGAGCTATGGCTTTCATATTTCACAGGTGAATTCCTTGTGACAACACCTTTTTTGGGTACCACCAACTTTGACCTTTTGACCTTGGAGTTTGACTTACTTTTACAAAAGAAAATACCACACCTTAACCTGGCCATAACTTTTGAACAGTTGGAGCTAGGGTTTTCATACTTCACATCTGTATTTTTTGTGACCTTTCAGCTGTTATAAATATTTTTGATCTTGACCTAAGAGTTTGACCCACTTTTTAAAACTTTAACCTTGGTCATAACTTTTGAACAGTTAGAACTAGGGCTTTCATATTTCTTTTTTATTTATACAAAATTTTATTCACAAAAGTGAATGGGATTGGGCAGCAGGCAATTCCTATATTAGCCATCTCCGCTTTCATATTTCACAGGTGTAGGCCAACAACCCTGCCTATAAAAACAGCAAGTTACAGAAGCATCAACGACAAGCCAAAACCAACATAACCTGGTCCAGATTGGGCCTACTTCAAGGGGAACTATGATGCTCTGCAATGAAAGCCAAAAGGAAACTGCAGAGCTGACTCCCTTTCTGACAACCAGGAAAACCATCAGATTTGCCACTAATGGAACATCAGAACAATGTATGAAGCAGGAAGAACAGCACAGGTAGCAAAGGAGATGAAGCACTACAACATCTGTCTCCTAGGACTTAGTGAGATAAGGTGGCTACAGACAGGACAGCTGAGGCTAACCACCAGGGAAACACTGTTGTATTCAGGACACACCAAGGAGGAAGCCCACCACACCAAAGGTGTAGGTCTGATGCTATCCCTAGAGGCTCAGTGTGCTCTCATCGGATGGGAACCTGTCAACTCCCGCATAATAACAGCCAAGTTTAACACCAAGGAAAATAAGATCAGGTTAAACATCATACAATGTTATGCCCCCACAAATGATGCTGATGAGGAAAAGAAAGATGCCTTTTACCAATAACTACAGGCAGTCTTGGATAAAACAGGCAAGAAAGACATGTAAGGACTCATGGGCGACTTCTATGCCAAAATTGGAGGTGACAACACAGGCTACAATGAAGTCATGGGTACACATGGATTGGGCTACATGAATGAGAACAGTGAGAGATTTGCAGACCTATGCTCACTTAACCAGATGGTAATAGGTGGAAGCATCTTCCCTCATAAAAGAATTCAGAAGGCCACATGGAGATCCCCTGACCATGTTACAGAGAACCAGATCGATATCTGCATTAACAAGAAATTTAGAAGAGCATGGAAAGATGTCAGGGTGATGAGAGGAGCAGACATTTCATCAGACCACCATCTGCTGATGATGGCATTAAGGCTGTGCCTCAAGAAGTTCAACAACACGACAAATAGGGGGACAAGGTACAACGTGAATGCCCTCAAAACAAAGGAAGTGAAGACAGCATTCCATCTCAGCTTGTCAAATAGATTCTAGCTGCTACAGGACCAGTTAGAAAACAATGATACCAACATAGAGACCCAATGGCAGTACATCAAGGAAATGTGGCAAGGTCCATGCGAGGAAGTCCTAGGCAGAAGAAAGAATCAGCACAAGGAGTGGATCTCTGGTGATACCATGAGGAAAGTGGAGGAGAGGAAGGAAAAGAAAGCAGTGCTGAATACAAGCAGGACAAGATCAGCAAAGACAGAAGCTCAAGAGGATTACACAGCCACAGATAAAGAAGTTAAGAAAAGCATCAGGGGAGATAAAAGGGATTACATCGACAACCTGGCCAAACAAGCTGAAGAAGCTGCGGGACAAGTAAATTTGAAAGAACTGTATATGATCACAAAGAAGCTCTCCAACAAGTTCCAGCAAACAGACAAGCCAGTGAAGGACAAGAACAGGAAAACTCTCACAACAACAGACGAACAATTGAAGAAAAGGGTAGAACACTTCAGAGAGCTATTAAATAGACCAGCACCAGAAACACCCCCAGACATACAACCAGCCAATATAGACCGATCAATTGCGATAAGCCAACAAAGACGGAGATCAGGAGAGCAATTAATAAACTTAAAAATGGAAAAGCGACAGGGCCTGATGAGATACCAGCAGAAGCCATCAAAGCTGATACAGAGACAACCATTAACATCTTATACAACCTCTTCAACAAGATCTGGGAAGAAGAGAACATCCCGGAAGAGTGGAAAGAATGTATCCTTATTAAGCTGCCTAAGAAAGGTGATCTGAGGGATTGCAGTAATTACAGGGGGTCCTCAACAGAATACTTCTCGAGAGAATGAAAGAAGCAGTGGACCCAAAGCTCTGTGACCAACAGGCTGGTTTTAGAGCCAACAGATCATGTGCTGACCAGATAGCCAGTCTGCGCATCATTATAGAACAATCACTGGAGTGGAAGTCCCCCTCTATGTCAACTTCATCGACTATGAGAAAGCATTCGACAGCGTGGACCGAGAAACATTGTGGAAGATACTGAGGCACTATGGAGTACCAGAGAAGCTAGTCTCCCTGATTCCAAAGACCTACCAAGGCATGATATGCAGGGTTGCCCATGCTGGCCAGATGTCTGATAGTTTCGAGGTCAAGACAGGATTTCGACAAGGATGCTTGCTGTCACCATTTCTTTTTCTCTTGGTCATTGATTGGATCATGAGGACTACGACATCTGGCAGGAACAATGGTATACAGTGGACACTCCTGATGCAACTCGACGATCTTGATTTTGCAGATAACCTGGCTCTCCTTTCACACAACCAAAGCCAGATGCAGGATAAAACAACTCGCCTTGCAACAACATCCGCAGGAACAGGCCTCAAAATCAACTTGAAGAAAACAGAATTGATGAAGATAAACACCACTGTCCAAGCATCAGTCACAGTTGGTGGTGAGCCCATCAAAGAAGTTGAGTCCTTCATCTACCTGGGGAGTGTGGTGGACAGACAGGGTGGCACAGACCGCGACATCAAGTCAAGAATTGGCAAGGCAAGAACTGCATTTACCATGTTAAAGAACATCTGGGCCTCAAAGATCATCCCTATTACCACTAAACTGCGGATCCTCAACTCAAGTGTAAAGTCCATCCTATTGTATGGAGCAGAGACATGGAGGATGACTAAAGCTACCCTGCAGAAGATCCAGACATTTTATAACACCTGTCTCAGGCGCATATTCAACATCCGATGGCCTGAAAGGATCTCCAATGAAGAACTATGGAAAAGAGCAGGACAGGAACCAATGGACATACAAATAAAAAAAGAGGAAGTGGGGCTGGATTGGACACTTTAATTAAGTCACCATCCAATATCACACGCCAGACCCTGACTTGGAACCCACAGGGCAAAAGAAAAAGAGGACGTCCTAGAAACGCCTGGAGGCATGACTCAGAGTCGGAGCTAAAGACACAGGATATGACCTGGCATGATGCAGTTAGAGCAGCTCAGAATCGTGTCCATTGGAGGACTGTTGTTGATGGCCTATGTTCCTCACGGAAGGACAAGCCTAAGAAGTATTTCTTGTAACAAGGCCTCCCTTTGGATACCAAACCAACACTTTTGACCTTGACCTTCGGAGTTTCAGTAGTTTTCAGTAGACCCAAATAAACAAGAGTTATTTCCCATTGGCCGACATCTTGTTGGTCAACCTGGTAATTTTCCCTCTTTGTCCTACCAAATTTAAGAGAGTGTAGCAGAAATATTTGGGGGAAATCTTTATGGAACAAACATTATAGAATAAAGGAGACTGTAACAAATGTATATTTTTAAGAAAAACAAAGCTTCCCAGCCCACAGTTGCCAATATAAAATGTTAAAGTTGGTTGAATAATGAAGGAATATGAGCATGTTGACCCCCAATATGACGGCCAACGGGAAATAACACTTGTTAATTTGGGTCTACTAACAACTATCTATAAGCTGCCATACGGGGCATCAGTGTTTCACAAACACATCTTGTTTTCCATTAAAAGGCAAAACCTCACTCTACCCTAAATAATGAGAAGTAAATGTAATCCTATATAAACCAGGTACAAAGCAAAATCCTTCTAACACTCAACAAGCCTGTTATCTAAGATATATTCTAAAATGATTACAACAAAGCTTGGAAACAAATTGTGAAGTAATTTATTTGTTTTCATACTTTTTTCCTCACAAGCTATTGTCACAGCAAATACATTGAATGCATAAAAATCTCTAGATGGTCCTTATAATAAGTTTTAATTTTAAGTATTGCCAGAACACTTTCATTTTAACACACAGGTAATCAAAGCAGTGATTAATCTCTTAAAGAGAAGCTAAGTACAGTGTATATTGATGATATTTTGATACTTGCTAACATTAATTTGGTCAAATCTCTTTATATTTTCCTGAACCTATGTACAAAGCTCATTTTAGTTGGAAGATATATAAAGTATACAATCTGTACATTAAAAAAAATCTTTAAGCATTCTAATCATGTTGATTTTCATTCATGATTATTACATGTATATAAAATCTAAATTAAATACAATTTGCCTTGATGCAGGTATCATTTTTATGAAAAATCAAAATTCTTTCAAAGAAAAAATGATGTACAAATTAGTTAATATTTTAAATATGTTATATAAAAACAACCACATTTATACAAATGAAGAAAATACTCATTCCAGTTTGCGTAATGTTCAGTTTTTCAATTTTATAAATCATTAGAATGTAACTCTAATGAAAAATATTCCAAATCAATTAAGTCCAGTAAGACATGAATCAGAGGATCAGAAAGTGGCTCCGATAAGAAATCCACCGGCAAAACTTCCCGCTAAGTATACGTTGTTCTTGAAGAATGTCTTTAGCTGGAATGAAACAGAGTAATTACTAATATATTAGACTTTCTTTTGTATAGGCTATTACATTGGCATTTCTAGAAATTACCGTATAAGTAGAAATTTTAGCGAGGATTTAATTTTGGCATTATTAGCGAGGTTACCGAGATCGCTAAAATTGAATATCACTAAAATTAATTGCATTTTATTTGTTATAGCCTCTTTAATGTGCATTTTAAAATTGCTGAAATAAAATCTCACTAAAAATAAATTAACCATTTTTTAAGGACAAATCGCTAAATATGCGTCTCGCTAAAATTTCCACTTATACAGTATTATTTTTCGGACTAGCTGTCCACAGGCACCTGACCTTAATTATTTTTTTTTTATAATAATTAAAAAAGTACTCCCTACCTAATAATTAAGCAGGGGGTGTATTTTTTATTAAAAGAAAAATAAGTAATGTCAGGTGCCTGTGTAGCTGTCATGTGATCCCTTATATATCTATTATTTAGGATAATACTATAGCTAAGAATAATTTGAACAGTGAATGCAAAAAAACAGATAAGTATTGGGGATACATTCTTCAATTACTCATCAATCTTACACTAATATTTGTCAGTTTTTGTGCTTGTACTGCTTTACATGTAGGCTTTACAGAGGGTTGAGAGTAATAATACAAAGGGTAAGTGTAGGAGACTGTAAAATAAAAAGATCAGAGTATCATAATGTACATGTATATTCAAACAAAGGTAAAATGTTTATCATCTGTGCTTACATTTAAAAAAAATCCATATTTTATTTAAGATCTTTTATAACATAGACTATTGCAAGATTATGTGAAATGGAATGCCCCGGTATGCATTATATGGAAAAGTGTCAGGTTGTGACTGCATTATAAGCCTTTTTAAGTGTATTTTACAAGTACTTACACTTCCAGATCTCTGAAATTATATATTAAATGTGTTGATCTATTAATTGTTTAAATTATCTTTTTATGAAAGGGTGCTTGCTTTGATTTACTTGCTGATTAAAAATATATTTTAAATGCTTATAAATCTATGAAATAAGAATTCATTTCTCTGGTTCTATTTTTAGTACTCCCATAATTCCCTGGTGACTTCCTGTGTACTCACATTTTCCACCACTCCCTGGTACTGCTGCCTGGTCTGCCTCTCTATAACCCTCTTAGCTTTGTCAACATCTTTCTCCAGTAAACTCCAGTCTATTTTTACATATCCTTGATGCTGTGCTATCTGACCAAAACATGCACATACAAACCAAGTGAACTTCTTTTTATATGCAAAATTAAATAAATATAAAATATTTCATTGAAATTAATCAATCATTAGTGTGGTAATTTTGGCTGCCTAACTACAGGACATTAGTGTTACCTATTTAGTAAACTGACTCCAGCTACTACAAATCTTAGATACACTGTACCATAAATGTAAATATTTATTTCTGTTTTTAATTTCACAAACATAAGCAACATATGTGTTTACTTTTAATGTGTGTAATATTCTGTCTGATAATAAATTAACATTTAGTCATATTTTTTTTTAAATCAAATGTGCAGTGTGTATTTATATTTACATGTCATTTTTAAATATATACAACAAATACTGTTTAAATAGAGAAAGTAAATTTTTTTTTATACATGTATATAACGCGGTCTTTGCTTTGAGATTGAATATTGTTCGTTATCTCCACATCCTTCTTTAGACTATGATCAACACGTGTGCTTATTTTCTCTGCACTTCAGACATGTCAGAGTTTGTCAATCAGGATTGGATGAAACATTTGCCCCATTATTCATACAAATTAATTTGATGATTATTGTGCGTTTTTGAAAAACATTTAAAAACACTCTTTTTTCTATTATATGAATGTTAAATATCTTTTATCTAAATTGTTCTAACTCCACAGAAATGCTCGGTGACTTAAAACTTTCATATATCAAATAACCGACCGCCTCCTGGCGGCCGGTAAGCTACAGATCTGCAGCTAAATAAAACAAAGGACTTTTATACCCTGTATTTCTTTATATTCATATATTCTATATAAAAATATTAGCTTGCTTGCCTAAAATAGGTGTTCTCAAATGACATATTTGAATTTCAATTATGCAATACCTAGCCTTGCTACCTGAATCTACTTGTAAAGTTTTACCTGTAGAACCAAGATTGATGTTCCTAGTGTGCTGACAGTTTTACCTGTTCCTAGTGTGGTGACAGTTTTACCTGTAGAACTAAGAGTGATGTTTCTAGTGTGATGGCAGTTTTACCTGTACAACTAAGATAGATGTTCCTAGTGTGCTGACAGTTTTACCTGTAGAACTGAGTGATGTTTCTAGTGGGATGACAGTTTTACCTGTAGATCTAATGTTTCTAGTGTGATGACAGTTTTACCTGTAGAATTAAGAGTGATGTTCCTAGTGTGATGACAGTTTTACCTGTAGAACTAAGAGTGATGTTTCTAGTGGGATGACAGTTTTACCTGTAGATCTAATGTTTCTAGTGTGATGGCAGTTTTACCTGTACAACTAAGATAGATGTTCCTAGTGTGCTGACAGTTTTACCTGTAGAACTAAGAGTGATGTTTCTAGTGGGATGACAGTTTTACCTGTAGATCTAATGTTTCTAGTGTGATGACAGTTTTATCTGTAGAACTAAGAGTGATGTTTCTAGTGGGATGACAGTTTTACCTGTACAACTAAGAGTGATGTTTCTAGTGGGATGACAGTTTTACCTGTAGATCTAATGTTTCTAGTGTGATGACATTTTTACCTGTAGAACTAAGAGTGATGTTTCTAGTGGGATGACAGTTTTACCTGTAGATCTAATGTTTCTAGTGTGATGACAGTTTTACCTGTAGAACTAAGAGTGATGTTTCTAGTGGGATGACAGTTTTACCTGTAGATCTAATGTTTCTAATGTGATGGCAGTTTTACCTGTAGAACTAAGAGTGATGTTTCTAGTGGAATGACAGTTTTACCTGTAGATCTGATGTTCCTTGTGTGATGACAGTTTTACCTGTAGAACTAAGATTGATGTTCCTAGTGTGATGACAGTTTTACCTGTAGATCTAATGTTTCTAGTGTGATGACAGTTTTACCTGTAGATCTAATGTTTCTAGTGTGATGACAGTTTTACCTGTACAACTAAGATTGATGTTCCTAGTGTGATGACAGTTTTACCTGTAGATCTAATGTTTCTAGTGTGATGACAGTTTTACCTGTAGAACTAAGATTGATGTTCCTAGTGTGATGACAGTTTTACCTGTAGATCTAATGTTTCTAGTGTGATGACAGTTTTACCTGTAGAACTAAGATTGATGTTCCTAGTGTGATGACAGTTTTACCTGTAGATCTAATGTTTCTAGTGTGATGACAGTTTTACCTGTAGAACTAAGATTGATGTTCCTAGTGTGATGACAGTTTTACCTGTAGATCTAATGTTTCTAGTGTGATGACAGTTTTACCTGTAGATCTA